CATTTTTTAGAAAAGACCCATTTAATGTACTTAAAAATGAAACCTAGCTGGCCTCACCCCGGGGCATGTTGAGACCGAGATTGAGACTTAGTGTGGTGGCATGTGCCTGTAATCCCAGAGCTTGCGAGGCTGTAACAGGAGGATCGCTACGAGTCCAATTTACTTAGTGAGACCCTGTAGACCTTGTAGGCCCTTACTAAAATACAAAAAAAAAAAAAAAGAAAACGAAACCCAGAAGATTTTTAGTAACTACTGTTAATACAATAGATTGGATAATCCAAAGAAAGACTCCTAGATACATATGAATTATGAAACAGAACCAAGATCTAAAAACCCTAACAAAGTTAAAGTAGCCAATGAAATCAAAGCAGTAATTTTACAAACTCGCAGCTAAAAAAGGCCCAGGGTCCAGGCACACACCTGTAATTCCAGCACTCAAGAGGCTGAGGCAGGAGGATCGCTCTGAGTTCAAGGCCAGCCTGAACTACATAGTGAGACCCTGACAAACACACAAAAAAAAAACATGACCTGATGGGTTCACCACTGAATTCTACAAGAACTTCAAGAAAGATCTAATGCCAGATGGGCATCCGAGATGAACACACACTTCTCAGAGGACGAAATCAAAGAAGCGAATAAATATATGAAAAAATGCTCCACATCACTAGTCATTTGTGAAATGCAAATTAAAACAAAACTGAGATATCATCTCATCCCACAAAGAATGGCTATCAAAGAAATCACCCAACAACAAATGTTGGAGAGGCTGTGGGGAAAAAGGAACCCTTCTCCACTGCTGGTAGGAATGTAGACTGGTGCAACCATTATGGAAATGAGTGTGGAAACTCCTTTAAAAACTAGGACTGGAAATCCCATTCAAACCAGCTAGCCCCCTACTGGGAATTTCCCAGATGTTTTCTGAAAACATCATATCATAGTGATATATGTGTACCTATGTTTACAGCAGCACAATTTGTGATAGCCAAATTTTGGAATCAGCCAAAATGCCCATCACCTGAGGAATGGATGAAAAAGATGTGGTACTTTTATACAATGGAGTATTACTCAGCTATAAAGAATGATAAACTCAAAGCCTTTATATTGAAATGGATGCCACTTGAAGATATACTCATAAGTGAAATAAACCAGACACACATGTGTAAATATCGCATAGTCTCCCTTGTGTAAGAACTCAACAACTAAAAAGAAGAGAATCACTGAGTCCAATCTACATAGTGAGACCCTGTAGACCCTGTAGACCCTTGCCTAAATACCAAAAAAAAAACATTTTTAACAGGAGGCATCACAATCCTTGATTTCAGGTTGTATTTCAAAGCTTCAGTGATAAAACCAGCATGGTACTGCCACAAAAACAAACATGTGAATCAATGAAACAGCATAAAGAGTGCAGAAACAGCCCTAGGCATATTCAACTATCTGATCTTTAACAAAGATGACAAAAACAATTGAAAAAAGAATTGAAATGTGCTATGTACATTTACCAGTGAGTGTAATCATTACATAGTACAAATATATTTTATTAAAAAATTTTAAAGACATACCACATAGCTAAAGAATTTGACATGCAAATAGATCATTGGACAGAATAGCAAGCCCTGAGATAAGCCTACAAATATAAAATCATTTGGTTTTTTAAAAAGCAATATTGGATTTGGTAAAGAAATATCTCTTCAAGGGCCAGGGAGATGGCTCAGTAGAATAAGCACTTCCCTGGCAAGCACAAGGGTCTGAGTTCAATCCTCGGTTCCACAAAAACAAAAACAAAAATTGGTGTTTGAACACTCTAAATATTCATGTGGAAAAATAAACATTTACCCCCCAACCCCACACCCTACCCCAAAACTATTTGAAGACAGATCATGCAATTAAATATATAATAAAAACTGTAAATCTATGAATTTGATGAAGAAAACCAATAATCTTTGAGACTTCAGGATAGAAAAAAAATTCTTTTTTAAAAAAATGTATTTAGTACAAGGCCTACAGGGTCTCACTGCACAGATCAGACTCATAGTGATCCTCCTGTTTTCAGCCTCCCAAGCACTGGGATTACAGGTATACACCACCACAGCTATTCTCAATCGCCATCACAACACACCCCAGGGGCGGGGCCAGCATGGCACGCAGGGGACTGAACCCTGGTCCCTGCACCTGCCTGCACTTTAATCCACTGAGCTATCTGGCTGTCCCAGAAAAAAAATTCTTAAAACAAAAAGCTATAGTCATAAGTAATAATAAATCACCCTTCACCACATTTAAAAACCAGTTTACCAAAATTTATCATTAAATACTCACTCTAGTAACACCTATACTAAAATTAGAATTATACAGAGAAGATTAGCATGGCCCCTGCACAAGGATGACATGCAAATTCATGGAGTGTTCCATATTTTTCTTGGAAACCAGCCAAATGTCCATCAATTAGGAATGCATAAAAAATGATCTGGTATTTTTACACAGTGGAGTATTACTCAGCTATAAAAAAGATAGACTTGCGGCTTTTATAGGTTAATGGATGGAACTAGAGACCATACTCATAAGTGAAATAAATCAGACCCTCCTGTATAAACATCATATTGTTTCACTGGTGTGAGAACCTGAAAGAGTAATAAAAATCTGAAAGATATAGTAGATACTGTGAAAGGGAAAAAATCTGTTCAAAGGGAAGGAAAAACTGGGATGAGGGAAAAGGCAAAAGAAAAACAAAGAAAGAATGGAAAAGACATATGTATGTTTATATACAGGATAGCTTGGGTAATTGTACTGTTGAGTTCTGCTGGTCTATTGAAAGGAGCAATTAATGCCTAATTTTCTTCCTCTTTTAAATTTCTTATACCTTTTTTTACATTTCTTAATTTTTTATTTTTTAAAGAGTACAGGGGCCAGGGAGATAGCTCAGTAAAATAAATGCTTGCCTGGCAAGAGCAAGGGCCTGAGTTCAATCCCCGGTTCAAAAAAAAAGTGTACAAATTAGACTTAAAACAGAAAAAATTACAAAATGATACAGAATTTCACTTAACAAAATAATATGAATTTCACAGTATTTGCTGCAATAGATAGTGTTGTCTTCCAATAAGCTATTCATATTACCAGATAGATACATGTAAAACTGGAAGAAAAAATGTATAAGAAATTAAGAATAGAAAAAGCACAATTGAAAAAAGGAGATGAAACAAATGAAAGCGTTAACTGCTTCTTTCCACAGACCAGCAGAAATGCACAGTACAGATGTCCAAACCATCCTTCTTACATACATAGATAAAATCTCTTTCCCCCACTCCCTCTCTTCAACTTTTTTTTTAAAAAACAACTTTGCAAGCTTATATCTGGTAATCTAAACAACTAATCTGAAAAACAGCCATTGTTGAATTCCTATTATTTTATTTAATAAAATTCTGTATCATTTCTAACTTCTTTTTTACTATTTTTATTGTCTTTTAACAATAATAATTTTTAAGAAATCATCATTAAAAATGAAGCCAGGCATAGTGGCACACACCTGTAATCCCAGAACTTGGCAGACTGAGACAAAAGGATTGCCATGAGTTTGAGGTACACCTGGGCTTACATAAGTGAGTTCAAGGCCAGCCTACACTCAAAAAGAAGAAGAAAATGAGTAGAACCAGAGATAGTGGCACATACCTGTAATCTCAACTCACTGGGAGGCTGAAGCAAAAGGATAAAAATTCAAGCCCTTCATGGTCAACTTAGTGAGACTTTATGTCAAAATAAAAAGTTAAAAGAACTGGAATATAACCCTCCATGAGTTCAATCCCAAGTATGTAAAACAGATAGATAGAAAGATAGATAGATAGATAGATAGATAGATAGATAGATAGACAGATGATAGATAGATAGATAGGCAGATAAAAGGACTGAGGATCTAGCTCAGTGAAGTGTTCTTGCCTAGCATGTGTTCAGTTCCCAGTAAAGCAAAGAAAAAAGAAAACTAATGCTTAATTAATGCAATAACAGATGACTGAGGGAAAAATTTGCAAAACAAATATATTTGATGAAGGACTTCAAACCAGAATATAAAGAAATCCTATAAGTAATAATTTAAATATTCAAGTTTTTGCAATGTTAGGGATCAAAACCAGGGCCTGATGCATATTTGCAAAAAGGAATTGTACCTGAATGTTCATTTCAGTTTTGTTCATAATAGTCTAAAACCAGAAGTAATCCAATTGTTCATCAATAAAAAACTATGATACAGGAGTTCCGGGAGCCCCCAGACCCAGTCCTAGCCCAGGTGCGGTGAGTGTGCGGAGAGTTTCCTGCTACCCTGCGCCGGCGGGACCAGTCCCAGCCCAG